AGTAATTTCTAATAAAACAAAGCTTGAAATTAATTCAGTCCGTTTCAGTTCATGGCTGGATGAGTGAAAGGGTCAAATGTCCGAACGTTAAAACTTTCGACCCGGACAGACACTTAAAGAAACAGTGACTTGCAATGAGTGTAAAGTAAAGATAAGGTGTAATAAGCTTAGTTAGCTTATAATATCTCACCCATGCTTATTGCTTGAGACGGGACGTACAGCACCGCGCATAAGTACAAGATCTGAAAAAACGGGGGGAAATGAGGGTCATTTAGTAAAATGCAACTCTTTACAGTCATTTCCGGTTTGTTTGAAATTTTAAAGTTTCCCTTCAACGGATTAAAAAAAAAAGAAAGATTTTTAATCAGTTCAGTGTTTTTAGTGCTTTTTTTGTTCAGTGTCAAGAGCAGGAACCTACTTAGGTATCCAGTGTCAGATAAGTAAAACTAAGATCATGAAAATAAATTTTGAATCGAAAATAAAATTTGAATCGAGAACTTGTACTGTGCATGCCGACTGAGAGTTTGCTGAGGTGACATGTTTTTTTTTTTTTAACGCAGAACAAAAAGGCTGTAGATAGAACAAATGATGAAAGATTCAAGTTACTTCCATCTGACGCCGCTCTACTTTATGCCCCACGGATAATTCCTTTGTATATATTAGCTTTCTTTTCTTTTTATAGTGGATGCTGCCTCTGTCACTAAGTAAGTCTTTTGCACTGTTTTCTATGTATGAAGTTAATGATAATTTTGTAGCTTTTGTACATTTTTTTGTCTTTTTATTTTCCATTTGTGTGTAAATGTGTGATGAAGCGTTGTAGTAAAGCATTAAAAAAGTTATATCCAGCTCCATAGGACCGTTGTAAAGGCAAAACAAAACTAAGAAGAGATTCTTGAGTTGGTTGCTCTCATAATGATTCGAGTGATGGAAACATAACTAGTTCGAAACCAGTAATACTTACGTAGGTTACAGTGAATAGGGTGGCTCCAACGTAGCGCACACCGGAAGAAAAACGCGCCTCCAAGTACTAATCGGAAAGAACAGAAATTCTAATCAACGAGGTTGGGTGGGACAATATTCAATGAGGCAAAAGAATGTATGCCGCTCACGTGCTAACCAGCGGTCTGTTTCATTCAATTATAAAAGCTTATGATGACTGCATTTTTTAGTAATATTTGGACCATTCAGAGACCCGGTATTGACAAAAACGTATGCAACTCACGTGCTACTCAGCGTTCTGTTTTATCACGTTATTTAAAAAAGCTTATGCTAACTGCATTATTAATATTTTGACAATTAAGAGATCCGGTATTAATGATACGTCAATGCACGTCATAGGTAACTCCGTGAATAGTGTACCAAGCCTATAATCTGCTCTACTGGGGAGAAAATGCTTCCGTCTTAGTTTGAGATTGTTTTTGATAGTGAAGTGTATATGGAAGCAATTTGACTAATTCAAGGGCCTATTTGTAGAAAAAAAGAGTCAAAAGAAGGTCATATAAGCCCGATTAAGCAGAGGCCTTGCTTTGCTTGTTGTACATAGAAATGCAAATTTTAAAATGTGCAGTTGCTTTTGCTATAGTTGTCTTTTTCTGGCGTTTGTTTTGTTGCCTTATAACGAGTTATTGGGATCGATAACTCTCTATCCGAATTTTTGTCGGTAACTAGTATTTAAAGAAAATATTTTCCACCCTCAAATTTACTGCGATAAAGTATTTAATTATAGGCTTCAGGTCACGCTATATTTGAATACATATCGCGGTCGATTCATCGGAAACTCTTGTCGTTTCCAGAAGATTTTAATCTTGCGCAATTAGTGGTTTTCTTGCCGGTTTCTTTCTGACTTCGTTATTCTAAATTTTATGTTTTCTACCTATTCATCCAATTATTCCTCTTGGTTTCATGTGCTTTTTGGCAGTAGCCTTAAATAGCGTGACCTGGTCTAAATATAGATAGATATTTAGAAAAGACAAGAGCGATTGAAAACGAAAACAACTAGAAAAAACAACAAGCAAAAAGTCCTCCTCCAATAAAAAGTTATTACCTTTTTGTTGTTTAAGAAGGAGAAAATAGATCATTTGTTTCATGAACCATATTTTGAACTTCTGCCAAGATATTTGGAATAGATTTGTCAATGTCATGTCATTTTCACATCACGAATGGTACAAAGGTCTATCACGAAATGGCAGCTAAATACATTATGTAATATTTTCTGAGTTTAGAAAACCATTTCGAACCTATTGCAGAATTAATAAAGCAAATTGTTAATTCTTCCTAGACACCTAAATCATAAAATTATTCGCCAAGTCAAAACAAAAGATTTAAACAAAAACAAATTAAATAGGCACTTACCTCGTTAACAGAGGTTATTTTGATCCGATGGAACATAGGAATAAAAAGAACATGGGCCACTCCTGCTACGATCCAGTAGGACAGTATAGCTAAAATAATAAACTGCGCTCCATGCGTGAAAACCTCGTTTGTTGTACTCAGTAGAAGGAGGGACGAAAAATAGCTGGCCACGAGCGATAGTGCAACGAGCCAGCTTCTTAGTTTCTTGTTCGCCAGAAGAAATTCATTCGTGGTTATTTGTCCTCCGCGACAAGCAAAGAATACTCCCGCAGCGATTGGAAATAAGAGAGATATGGCGAAAACCAAGTAGTCCTCGGCGAATTTCATTGTTGAAGAAAATTTCTGCTGATCTTGTTTACGAGTTTTGCCCCTTCAAATTCAAAGCGAACATCAAGTGGTTTACCTTGATGCGTATTACAGTCAGTATTAAACCAGCTTTGCCTGTGATCTGATACTGAAAGTTATTTCGTGGAAAGAAAGAGTGAAAAAACGTGACGGATGTTCGATATTCCGGTGATCGGAGTCAAGACCGAGTGCACATTCAGTGCAAGGCAAAAATTCAAAGAGCAACAAAACGTCATTCGTTGACAGCTGGATTCAAATGAGAATCTGTCAACACTTGTCTGGGTGACATCTATTTTTTGCTGTTGCCGCTGTTTTGGCTTTGTTTTTTCACAATAATACTGACATTAATCAACCTCTTGCGTCAAATAGCCAAGGTCTCGTCAATTGTCTCAATGAATGATAATCCTTTGTTCTTGTCATGTTTAAGTTTAAGTTAGTCTGGCAGTAAGCCAGTATTGATTGCAGACATTCCTTGACGAATTCACACCCTGACCGCTGGTGCCGGAAACAAGTCGTGTAGAAACACTTGAACTTTTCTATGTTTGGAAGCACGCTATCAGTCAAACATTTTCGCATTGTAAAATAATTGCTTGAACTAAAGTAAAATATTGATTAAGAAAGTGGTGGATTTATTTGTCTAATCGACGAGTAAATTGCTTTTACATAGAAGAACGAGGCTGCTTTCCTTTGAGAATGGCTTTACGCGATTTATGACACATCGCACGAAGTATAGGGAAAAGCCACACTATGGAAATAATTATCTAAACCCGCCTTTCTCTATGAATAATTGACTGGCACCACAGAAACGTAAGATTTCATCCTTAGCCAAATTGTTTGTAAGTCCAAAATCATTTCTGCTTAACTCGTCACATCTCTAGTCTCATTTTGCAATTATGCTTCCCACAGCAGAATTAATCCACAGCTGGGAACAGGTCAAGACTTGATCAAGTTTATTTGACTTCCGGAAGAATTAGTCGTCTGATTCACACTCGATTAAAGCCCACTTTTTGACACAGTGAAGCATTATGAATTTAGGAAAGCTATTTGAACTGTTTCTACGTGCACTGATTGCACTTGATAATAGTTATCCCCAGGCTATGACAGACCTGCTATGAGTGTCACAGGTTCAGAAAACCTCAACAAATTTTCTAGTATATTCCACTAACATTTGTTGTCACGTGCATGTACAACAGCTAATATTTGCGAGTCTTTTGGTGGAATGACGTATTTGCTTATGGGTTATAACCATTGAAAAGTTAGTGTAGTAGTTTTGCACTGAGTTTTCCGCCATGATTTTCTCTTTAGCATATACAAGATAGAAGGAAACCAGAAGTCACGATTCACAGTAAAGCGATCATAAAGGAAAAAATCCAGAATATCAAGGCTTGCAATAACCTGTATTTTGGCTTTTGGAGGAAGTGACGCATTTAATTTCCTTTGTAGTAGCAGAACAAAGTTAACGCAGTCTCGTCGAAAGCGTGGGCCGTGTTACAGGGTATACGCATACATTTTAGCCTAGCATTTTTGTATTTACAAAACGGTGACAGTAAAAGCAAAAGATCTTCGCACTCTGTTATAGATTTAACACACAAAACTATTCAGAAGAGATTAAGGGATCTTCAAGGATTACCCCCTCAAAAGTGCGTGAAAAAAATAAGCCCCCCGGGGGGCTTAATAGAGGATTTACGGTAATCAAATAAGGTGTTCATTGTGTCATTATCCCTTCTCGAAAACTGTTTCGTTAGTCTATTATTACCCTCGAAAAAGAGCATTTTTTCATTATTCCAACTGGAAAATTTCTGTTGTTCCATTTTTCAACCCTCTAAAGGGATTTCGTAGTTTAGAGCAGGAGTCCAGGCATGATCATAGGCTCCTGTTCAGAGTTACGTTAGGTTTCCACTATTTAATTAAGGTTCAAATTAGCTTGGAGGCCCGTCAACTCGATCTTTAGCCTGCGAAGCAGTCGCGCACGAGCAATTTATGGCGCAAACCCACAATTGGAGAGTCCAATTGGTTAAACTTTCTTCTGGTCTGGGTCTCTGTCAACCTCGTTCCCAGGGTTCACTCTCTTAATTCGAGAGAACCCTGGGAACGAGTTTGAGTCTCAGTGTAAAGGCTTGCCTGCGTGGTAGAGGTAATCATCCCCGAATCAGAAGTTTAGTTTGGCCTGTGGCGCAGGCTATGCAAAGGCTGGATTCAGTTTATATTATCTGCTCCAGCTACAAATTAGCTTACATTCCTAGACAAGAATAACGTGTTTCAAAGGTTAATCCTGTGTTAAGTTAAAATTAACAGCCTGCGGGCAACCTGGGCGTGAAAATTTTTATTTCAATGTAAGTAAAAATTTGATGGTAATTACGTTGCTTGAATGAGCAAAGGCGTTTAAAAATTTCAGTACAGACCTGTGAAAATCGACTTCTTAACTACTGATAAAGCATCCATTCTTATAACTCTACGATAATATTGAGTAGCGTTAGCTGAAATAAAACCAGGCAAAACAAGCTGTTTGAGCCGCAAATTGGGCCAAGTTCTTGGCTTGGGTAGTCTGTGTAGTAAGGGATAGCTAATCGGGAATGCTTGCAAAACAGGCCTTCGCTGACCTCCTAGCCTTGAATTATCGCTAAAATACCCCCAAGTCCCCCAACTTAAAGGAAAAAATCAGCCAGGATATAATATTTTGTTACTTTTGACACACACCAGACACTCTCAGTAAAACGTTATTTACATTTGGAAATAGAAATCTGGAGTTACTATTACACGCTCAAGGATTATCCGTACGAAGCCACAGAATATATGAAAAACAAAAATGAAACGCATAATACGGGAGAAAATTCGACACTTTATAAACGAGAAGGATACTAGGTCGAATTGACTTTCGCAAAGACTTCTGGGACTGTTCTAGGGACCGGGAAAAATGGCCGCTAGCTGACCGCGCGTCCCTTGTAACGATCCCAGAAACACTTGCGTGACACGTTTTCGCTCAAGTTCCTTTCCGTTTCTAAAGACGTGAATTGATGACATCACAATTTAGAATCATTTGACAGTAGATCGTTGGTGAACATGTCTCCCATTGAGGTCTTCTCCTTTTCACCAGGCTCCTGGAGTGGTGGGGCTTCATCCCAGTTTATCTTGATTTCCTGCAAGGTATGCAATTCACACATTGATTGTTATACTATGATGATATTGTGAGTGCTCATGGTGTGATCATCATGGCGTGTGCGAAGGCAAAGTGCACTTCATTTTGCTAAAGCGACAAAAAAATAGTTGATGTGCTTAGTACTGTTCTGACTAAAAAAGATGTGATCATCATCACCTTCTTCAACGTCCACATCACCATAACCACCATTACTATACCAACGTTTCCATCATCATCTGCCCGTCACCGCTATCGTCACCAATACCAACACCGCCACCAAGACTGTTATGATGATGATGACGATGATCTTGATGATGATGATGACCATCTTCATCATCATCATCATCATCATTATCGTCGTTATCGTCATCCGTATCATTTTTCTTACCCTCTCATGAAGTGGCTTCATTTCTTCTTCCTTTTCTTTTTGCAGTCGTTCATTTTCTTCTTCCTCAAAGTCCCATTGAAATGAGTGACCAGGAAGGAAGGAGAGACACCACTCCTTCAGAGGGAACAGCAACTTAGGATCAATCTCTCTTTCTTTGTCTTCTTTTCTCTCTTTAAGTTAAAGCAAAGAAGAAACATGCAATTTAATAAATAATGTAGCGAGAAAGCAAATAGACTGCGATTGTAAGCCTTGCATTTTGCTCTCTTTGAATAGAGCTTTACATATGTGTGTCTAATGAGAAAACTGAGGAGAAGCAATTTTTCAAGTAAACTGAAATTCAGAACTTGACAGATTCCCTAACTCACTAGCCTGTGAATCGCTAAAGAGCAACGAGAGACGGCTGTATTGGAAGGCTATCAACTCACCTAAAATTAAACTCATTATGATCCCAACACCAAAGGAAACGATAACGGACAAGCCACTAAACCAAAGGTATGACATGCTGTAGAAATCAGCTATACCCGCACTAAAAGTAAAACAAAATTCAATCGATTTAAATTTTACGTTGTGGAGGCAGCAACGCTGACTTTGGTTTTTTGCGTATGAGTAGAAATTCTCATATCGATTCTACGTATTCATATAACTGACTGGTCCCGAGGAAACATTGAGATTGGAGGAAAACAAAATTAACTGTTTCCCGACGGACAAGTCTTTTGTCAGTGATTTGTTATATAGGTGGAAATTTATTAGACCTCGCTGTAGCAGCGGTCGTCGGTCAACATTCGCGGGCAACGGTACACTGTTGCCCTCTAACGTCACAGATTTTGCAATTTCACCCGCGAAGAGATTTTGTCGGGAAACAGTTTCATTGTTAGATGTCGTGTGTCCTCGAAGAAACTAATGAGAGCACGCGCTGTTGGGAAGAAATTTCCAGCTATATATTAATTTCGTTTAAACTTTTTACCCGTACAGTAATTCCATGAAGGAGCCTTACTCAAGGACTCAAGGTAGCGCATGCGCCACTGGTTATATTGTATCTGAAAAAGTACCTGTGTGGCATACGATTTAGCACTGATTCAAGTAAATATCTGACCAATTTGATAATAACATTCATTGGCCAGGGCAAGAAAGTCTTTAAATTGTCAGTCCACATTTTGCTCTTGTTTTGAAGACATATATGGAATACATAAACTTTAAAAAAAATACATATTATATATTTATTGAAATGAAACCCAACGGACAGTTTTCCCACGATATGTCTTGTTCCGACGATTTTTTT